ATTATCCCTGTGTCCAGCATAAGGCACTTAGGTCCCCACACAGCAGTCTGGGCTGCACTTTGAGGCCAGACATGGAGAAATAACGTGTTGCAACATTTAGCCATGTAGCACCAATCCCTCAACCAGAAAGCAAAGGTGGTTAATATCAGTTCAAGTACAATCATGAAGCCCATTCATCTACTGTTGTTTCTTAAAATATATTTTTAAGATAATGAAGCTTCTCATTCAGCAGAGTAAGCAGTGAATTATTCAGTGTATAAACTCTTGTGAAACACAAACTGCTGTTATTGGCAGACATGGAAGGCAAATAGAAAATATCCTTGGGCATCTCTAATAAAGGAAACAATGTTTTTGTTTGTTGAGAGGATTCAGGGTTTATTTATGTGCTGACACCCTGTGTGGAAGAGAGGGTCATGCAACAAAAGGGGTTTGACAGGGCCAGCTGGCTCACAAAGAGAAGATATCTGTTCCTTAAACAGACTGCAATTTATTTTTATTATTAGCTATTTATTTTACTATTTTTCCTTACAATACCATTGGAGTAGTTCTCTCCAGTAGTTATTTTTCATGTCATCCATTTGGTGTGTAATGGCGTTTTTGAGTGTGGCTAACGTGCAGTTGATTATTTAAAGAGTTGACGCTGAAAAGAACCTTCCGTTGTGCGTGACCTGGTGACTGACTGCTTGGAGGAAAGAAATATGTAACTTGGATATAAAGATTATCAACTGAAAAGATTTACACAATTGACTCAACAGAATTATATAAAGCTCAATAAAGTGTTGCTTTTCTCACTGTTTCCCAATCCTTTCTCTTCCTAAAAACTGTTTTTCCTATTTTTTTACTTTTTTTTACTGTTGCACCCAGAGGCTGCACCAAGACTGAAGGTTGTTGCACTAAGAAAGGGAAAAACAATTCCTAGAATGTCCAAATCAGATGGACTGTTTTGATAAACAGTTGTATTGAAACTTCAGGCTAATATTTCTCATTCAAGAGAGATGGGAGATTGAGGTGGGAGCTGTCTTTGACTAACCTTTCAGATAATGGGCAATGGAACTGATGAAGGGTCTAGAGAACAAAGAATATGAGGAGCAGCTGAGGGAGCTGAGGGTGTTTAGACTGGAGAAAAACAGGCTCTGAAAAGACCTTATGTCTCTCTACAGCTACCTGAAAGGAGAGTGTGGCCAGGTGGGGTTCAGCCTTTTCTCCCAGGTAACCAGTGATAGGACAAGAGGACAAAGTCATAAACTGCACCAGGAGAGGTTCAGGTTGGACATGAGGAAGAATTTTTTTACTGGAAGGGTGATTAAATACCAAAACTGACTGTCCAGGGAGGTAATGGAGTCACCATCCCTGGACATGTTAAAGAAATGATGGGGGATGATACTTAGTGTAATGGTTTAGTTGACAGGGTGATGTTGAATGGTTTTTGGAGGTCTTTTCCAACATACATGATTCTATAAATACAGTTATATAAAAATATTTCAATTTATATTTTACACCCAGAAAATTTCAATAGAAATGATAAAATTTTGTAACTTGTTTAAGATTTGTCCCGTAGTGCTTACAATAATAGCTATTATCATGAGACACTTATTCTTCCCTTCTTTCCTCCTCATAAGTTCTGTAAAGGAATGTAACATTTCAGAACTGACCTTAGATCCACCTTTTTAGACATATTATATATGAGACTATTATAACAATGTCTTAGAGTCTCATAACATTTAATAAATTCAAGCTCATAACTTCCCACTGATTTAGAGTGGTAATTATTCACAGTATTACACTGTTTCCTATATTAAGCCATCCCAAATTCTTTTAGGACCTTCCAATTAAAATTTTCTTGAGAGAATTTATAAACAAAAAGCTCCTTCTTTCTGAATATTAATGATAAAAATGAATATTGTTTTGGGGAGAATGCAAATATAAGTGAAAACTCCATATGCTGAGAGGTAAAATCTCCAGCTGTCACAGTGTAATCCATAGTTTTATATGTGTGATTACTCCTTTTCATTCACTAGGTAGTTCATTATGATAGGAAAAAAACTTCTTACAAATAGCAAGTGTAGAAACACCAGCTTTCAGGCAGAATTTTTACCTGGAAGGGTTAAATGTACTTGACGGCAAGGAATGAAAAAAAAATTGATGAAACCTGTGAATTTGCAGAATGAACATTAAGACATGTGGCTAGATAGATGTGGGATAAAACCACAATGATATCATAGGAAGAGATGTGTGAACCAGAGAAATTGTGAATAAATATGAAAATGTAACTGAATAAATGGGAGGAACTCAACAGGAACCTTATCTATTGGTATGGATGGATGCTGAAAATTTTTTTTCTTTAATGCAATAAGAGCAGTGAAAAAGCATGAAAAGTGAAGTGTGATAGGATGAGAGACAGATTAAGGAGAGTTGGAAATCCTAAGAAGTGTATACTGTTTTTTCTTTCTATTCATATGCTATAAAAAGTTTCAACTTTTTTTTTAAAAGGGATTGTAGT